TTTGATGTCTTAATAATGGCTGAGTTTTTCCTGTTGTTTTTTGTCAATTCGACTGTCATCTAGTATGGCGACATCAATAATCCAAACTTTTTTATTTTCCACAATCATGATGTCTGCTGTATTGTGTTCCAAAACTTTGTCAGTCTGGATTCAAAAGTCCCACCGTATTTTTGTGTGTTCATTTTCTACTACCTTTGCAAATTTTTGATCCCACCAGTTCTTTAGTGTTGGCAGGTGGTACTTGTGGCATAAGTTCCAGTGAATAATTTGGGCCACATAGTTGTCCCTCTGTTATTATTATTATTATTATTATTATTATTATTATTATTATTATTATTATTTTACTGACACAAAAATACAGTATGTCACAGCAAACGAGAGATATATGCTGGATTTCATATCACAAAATCACAAGTCGAGCACTTCCCAAGCATCTAGGACTGTGTGATGTATTTTCGAATGATGTGTGCAGATCCAAGTAAGGTGGCCTTTTGCAGTTGACAGATTGTGATTTTGTTAATGTTTATTATGGAAGATGATGATGATTATGATTATTACGTAATTTGCTGGAATTTGCATGTGTCCAGAGGAGAAACACTCACAAAACGACCACATATATGTAGCAATTTCTGCCTATTAAAAAAAGATTCCTCCTAAATAAAGTGCGCGTTTGCCAAACAGTTGAGTCTTCCCACATTATCCACGTTTTCCTACCATATATTTTTCCATTCCCTGTACGAGTGGCCCCTCAATAACTACTGGAATTTGGTTTCAGGAAATCCATAGATGCTGAATGTCCATTATATACAATGGCATAAAATGACATTGCCAAATAGAGCCCAAAAATCTGTGTTCAGCACATCGCAAAATTAAGGGTTTTTTAAAAAAGATTTTTCTCCCATGAATATTTTCAAGCCATAGTTGGTTGAAGCCATGAATGCAGAACCCACCTTCATAAATAACATGAAAAGGGATTTTCAGGTCCTGAAAGTTTACTGAAGACTGTCTTTAGTGTGGCATCCAATTGTTCTCTGCTCTCTGTTAGCTTGTGTTTCTGGACTTGGTAAAACTTAATTTTATATACATTTGTTTAAATGGGAAGTTTGTCAGCTTTTCAGACTTCACATTTTTGGGAACCAGAAAGATGTCTTTTTTTTCCTATTGATTTTTGGAGAGGCATGTGGAAAATAATTATAGCAAGTCCATAGTGTGTATAGTAAATGAAAATGTCACCTTTCCTTCTGGGATGGAGCCCCCTCACCTGGACACACACCTGCGAGGAGAGAAAGCGCCCTCCTGAACCAACCTGACTGCAGACCTTCAGGATGACATTAACTTTCAGTCGACTACAATGCGAGGCTCTTCTTTTTTGGTTTTGTTCCTGTGCAGTGAAATATTCCCTTGCAGCTTAAATTCAAATCTGAAAGACATCAAAGCCTTAATATGAAACAAAATGGAAGGCACCGCAAGTGCCTGGGAGAAAATAGAGCGAGAGAGACGCATCACTTTGTAGCTGCCTCTCTTATGCCAAAATTGCAATGCCACAGAAGTCAGGAAGCCACAGTGGGTGCCTTGGATCCCCTTGGTAGGTTAGATTGTTTTTCATCTGTTTTATTTCTCAAGTCTTTTTCCTCCCGTATTACGGAATAATATTAAGGGAAGCCTTAATGTAAGGACATTGTGTGTTATGAAGCATGAAGTTCCATAAATATTTATGCCCAACTACAAAAAAAGTTGTCAGTTCCTATTTTTCTCAGCTGTATTGGGGTCATTTCATTGTGTTTGACCACAGGATTGAAGAGTGCCCATGAGTCTATACCTTTTCAGCATGACATTTGGATATGGGCACATTGCTATTCCTCCCCCCTTGCACTCTTGATGAGTTTCTAAATTGACTTCACTTCACAGGCACTTTCAAAACTTTCAGAAAGGTATTGGAACTAACCAATAACATCCTTCATACCTTGATGGCCACAATGTGATATTTGCTTCTTAGTTGGGATTTTTCAAATTTTGTGGCTGTGAAATCATCTCTAGAGCAAAACAGGAATGAGTGGGATATAGTTTTAAGTAGACACATATCATGCTTGGATTCTAGATATAGTTTATCTTTGGTTCTAGTGGAATGATTGCAAATGAGTGGAAACTTGTACTCTTAGGGTGCATCTACGGTGTAGAATGGTACAATGTGGTGGAATCCTGGGATTCGTGGTTTGGTGAGGCACCAGCATTCTTAGGTAGAGAAGGCTGAAGACCTTGTAAAACTGCAACTCCCTGGATGCCATGGTGGTGTCAAACCGCATTGATTGTATAGGATAAATGTACCATCAGCGTCATTGGGCTGCAATTAGCCAGCATAGGTGTTACCAAAACATAATTGTAGCTGCTATTAACAGATATATGGAGACCTATAAGCTGCCCACTCTTGAGGAAGCATTTTAGGTCATTTAGCTGTCTTTATGTACTAATGTGAGAGTTGAAGAGGCACAGAACTTTCTGGTTTGAGCAAGCTGTATGCAGAGCAGTGGTTGAATATTGTTTATTTATTTATTTTGTATATTTGTACCCCATCCTACTCACTCCCCCAGGGGCGGGGGGGACGGGGGACGGGGGACGGGGACGGATTCAGGGCGGCTTCACAACATGCACTCATTCAAGTGCTAACCACAATCATAAAATACATTTTAAAACAATTCATTAAAATACATTACATTAAGAAACATTTTATTAAAATCACGCTGGTTTAAAATCAGTGTCTGGGACAGTTCATTGTCATACATATAACATTGAGTCTTATTCCTGATTGCTGCTGCTACTGATCAAATGCTTGATCCTATAACCTGGTTTTGAGTTTCTTTCTAAAGGACAGGAGGGAGGTAGCCAATCTGATGTCACTGGGGAGAGAGCTCTAAGAAGGCACTGTTTCTCGTCCCCACCAGTCACGTTTGCAATGGTGGTGGGATCAAGAGCAGGGCCTCTCCAGCTGATCTTAAACTTTGCGATGGTTTGTTATGGGAGATACGTTCAGACATGTAATCTGGGCCAGAACCGTTCAGGGCTTTAAACATTAAGACCAGTACTTTGAATTGTGCTTGGTAGCAGATCGGCAGCCAGGTGTTGTATGCTCTCTGTATGCTGCTCCGGTGAGTAACCTGGCTGCCGACTGTTGGACTTGTAACTTCCAGGCAGTCTTCAAAATGTTAGTATCTGCTTCAAAGGCTCAGATTATGTGAAATCTTCCTCCTTCTCCTTCTCCTCCCCTTCCTTTATGTCCCACCTTTTCCCCAATAGTGGAATTCAAAGCAGCTAACCATATATTTAAAAACAACAGGAAAACAGATTGATGCAATAACTGAGAGCTACATATGAAAATGGCTGCTGTTTATTGATATGTGGTACTCTATCTATAACCTCTTCATTATATTTATGCATACTACCATGATGTAGTTCTAAACCAGAGCTTTACAAACATGTCATATTGATGACACCTCTTAGCATGCAACATTTCATGACATAGTAATTCAGTTTTACCAGCAAACCAATGGTTAAACTGACCCCTTATAAGAGATATGGACACATATATAAATTGTAATGACGAATTATAAGGGGGCACTACATAGCTCATGGAAACCTTTCATTTATATATATTTTAAAATATTACACATAGTCTCAGAGGTCCCTCTTTACATTTGTGTGACATGCCAACACACTAGCGTGTTGCAACAACCAGTTTGGAAAGCTGTACAAACACATCCATCCAGATGTAGTGACAAAAAGAAACTATACTATACAGTTATAGCAATATAAGGCTAGTTTATTTGCTGTGGATGCACCATTCAGTGTACTTACTTACTTACTTTTACTTGCTTAGGCGAGCCCTCATAGCCTGAGGATGATGGCCCTCTAAGTGTAGTGTTTTGGTGGTGGATATATAGGTAGCTGTGGAGGCCTATTTTAGATCTGCATGCTCTTCTGTAGTGAGGACATTGGTTTTCAGGTGGAAGGCAGATGCGGTCAGGGTTGGTTTGATGTGCCTTCCTCTTGGCATGTTTCTCCCTTTCGCCCTCCATTTGTGCCTCTTCTAATTCTGAAGCACTGCTGGTCCCAGCTGACCTCCAGTTAGAGTGCTCAAGGGCCAGGGCTTCCCAGTTCTCAGTGTCTATGGGCTTTAAGCCCATCTTTTCTTGTCCATCAACATTATACATATTACCATCCAGTGTAATCATGTGAGTACAGCAGGCCCTAGGTATCCACTGTGGTTTAGCCTTTAATACCTTTTGTGGATATTTAGCTTACAGTTACTTAATTCTTCAAGTTAACCTGGCCCTTTAGGATAATATACTAGCACTTAGTATTCAGAAGGGCCTATTCCTACATGTAGATGACATCCAGAAAAAAAATCAGTTTTACTGTATTTTATGAATCTATCTGAGTTAGGTTTATGCACAATTCATTCCTATATATTCTCATGTTTTGAATACCCCTGTGTATTTATAAAAATAAAGTTTATTATTATCATCATTATTATTTGTCCCTTCAAGTGGCAACCCCATGCATTTCACAGGGTTTTCCTAGGCCTGGAATACTCAGAAGTGTTTTGACAATTCCTTCCTTTGATATATAGCATTTCCTACAGTGGCCTACAACTATTTGGCCTTTGTCGCTAGATGGCAGTGTCTGTTTGCTTTTTTGAGAAGAGATGTGGAAGGGCACGTTGTTGTTGAGCTTTCCAAGCATGTGTTAGTATTGGTGCAAATTTTTAATCTCTCTTTTAAAAAGTAAAAAGAAAAGAAAAGAAATAATAACAATTCTTTTATCCAAATCAATGATGCTTTATAAGTGGATGGCCTGAGAGTTACAAATACAGATCCCCCTTAAGAGCACTCCGGGAGAGATACATCAAACCTTGGTACCTAACAAAAAATATTCAACATTCAGAGGAATAACATCTTGAATTTTATGAGTTATTTACTCAAGTTTTTGTTTTGTGACTTTTACAGGTGGCTTGTCTAATACGGGTTCCCTCCGAAGTTGTGAAACAGAGAGCACAAGTTTCTCCTTCCTCCAGTACCCTTCGGATCCTTTCCAACACTTTGTATGAAGAGGTATGAAGCAAAACAGGAAAGGAGAAAGTATTATTTCCATGTCTATTTCTACCTCTATGTCTGTTTTCCTTTATGTTGTGGTCTGGTTTGTGAGCTCATTGGGCAGAAATTTGGTCTTCATGCTCATCATGCTCATTGGTGGAACTGTAGCAGTGAATTGGAACAGAAATTTACTGTGCTACTGGGTTGCTGTGAGTTTTCTGGGCTTTATGGCTATCTTCCAGAAACATTCTCTCCTGATGTTTTGCCCACATATGTTGCAGGCACCCTCAGAGATTGTGAAGTCTGTTGGAAATTAAACAAGTGAGGTTTATATATCTGTGGAATGTCCAGGGTGGGAGAAAGAAATCTTGTCTACCTGAGGCAAGTGTGAATGTTGCAAATGGTCACCTTGATTAGCATTGAATGGCCTTGCAGCTTCAAATCCTGACTGCTTCCTGCCTGGGCAATCCTTTGTTGTGATGTGTTAAGAGGCCCCTGATTTTTTCCTGTCTGGAATTCCTCTGTTTTCTGAATGTGGTTCTTTATTTACTGTCCTTATTTTAGAGGGGTTTTTTAAAAATACTGGTAGCCCAATTTTGTTCCTTTTCATTGTTTCCTCTTTTCTGTTGAAATTGTCCACATGCTTGTGGATGTCAATGGCTTCTCTGTGTAGTATGACATGGTGGTTGTTAGAGTACTCCAGAATTTCTATGTTCTCAAAGAATATGCTTTGTCCAGGTTGGTTCATCAAGTGCTCTGCTGACTTCTCTGGTTGAATTAGTCTGCAGTACCTTTCATGTTCCTTGAAAACAGAAATATTCATCCGTTTTCAGAACTATCATGATTGTGACTCTGAGAACCTAATTCTAGTATCCTACAAGTCAGTCAAACCAAGGAGTATCAGAGGGTTTGACATAATAAAACCTAAATCTCAAGGTATCTTTCTGGCTTGACAACAGAACATGTGAAAGCGATTTGAGAGTCTTATTACACCATAAGCTGAACATGAGTTAACAGTATGATGTGGCAGCTAAAAAAGTAAATGTGATTCCAGCCTGCATCAATAGGATTATTTTGTTTAGAATTAAGGGAAGTAATGATTCCACTGTACTCTGCTTTGATCAGACTTCACCTAGAATACTATATCCAGTTCTGGTCCCCAAAATTCAGGAAGGTTATTGACAAACTGGAATGTGTCAACATGGTCATTGGTCTGGTGGAAACCAAGCCCTATGAGGAGTAGTTTAGGGAGCTGGACATGTTTAGCTTATAGAAGACAAGTTTAAGAGGAGACATGATAGTCATAGTTAAACATTTGAAAGATAGGCATATTGAGGAGGTGGCAGGCTTGTTTCTGCTGCTCTAAACATTGGAATCCAGAGCAATAGACTCAAATTGCAGGAAAAGAGGGTCCACCTCAATATTAGGATGAAATTAATGAGAACTAGAACTGTTTCACAGTGAAATCTCCTTCCCTTGAGGTTTCTAAACAGAGTCTGGATGGTCATCTGTTGGGAATGCTTTGATTTTGTGTTCTTGCATGGCTGGATGGCTCTTGTGATCCCTTCCAACTCGCTGGTTCTAGCTAACTCTTCTGGGCATGTGAGATTGCAACAAAACACACTTTCTCCCTACCTCACAGGATCTGTACCTTTGAGGTGCCTGGATGTAGATTATCAAATACAATGGTGGTGGAGGTCATTTGTCAAGGAACTAAAGACTTCCATGTTTATTCCAACTATTTATTTCAAACATTTTTGCCCTGTCCTCCACCCAAGAACTGTTTACATACAGTCCAAGAACAAACAAGACACTCCCTGTCTGCTGGCTTACAGTCTAAAAACCACAGACATGAAAGGAAAAAGCAGTAAGGAGAGGAAAACGGAGCAAACTTGGACCATCAGTTCTTAAAATCAAATAGCATCTCTTCTGATTACCAGCTGAAATGGAAACTCAGGAAGAGGAGGAACTCAATGGAGCTGGCATTTTAGCAGAACTTGATGGAGTAGCTAGAGCCAATTGAGATGGCGCTTGTCAGATGTTGCAATGTGGAGCTGTAATAATGTTTCTGGAAATCACCCACATTACTAAACCTGTAATGTATCTAAGCTTTAGCATTATAGTGCATTGGAATGCTAATGCTCAATAAGTAAACAAAACATGTTCCAGTGATCTTATACTGTCCTTAGTCTGTAAAAACAATACCACATGAAAACTGACTGGCACAACCTGGGGATCACAAACAAAGCCCACTTTGCTACTCTGCTGCTGAGAACGCATGCCCAGTGTGGAACATATCTTACCATGCTAAAACAGCAGATGTGGCTCTTAATGAGACATGCCACATTATCACAGGATGTCACTGCCCTACACCACTGGAGAAAGTTTGCACCACCTGGCATCCGCTGGGAAGTAGAAGCCAACAATGAAAGGACCAAGACAGTGACATCTCCAGCCCATCCCCTGTTCGGATATCAGCCAGCATGCCAATGCCTTAAATTAAGAAATAGTTTTCTAACATCTACAAGATACTCACAGGAACACCTCAGCAAGCAAGAATCCAAAAGTGGCGGGCCAAAACCCAGAGCCTCAAGCCATGGATGATAGATACCAAATGAGAGGCTCCCTCCTGGGCACACAGAAGACTGGCCAACTTGGAAGGTGCTGAACAGACTGTTTGCTGTCACCACGAGATGTAGAGCCAACCTTAAGAAATAGGGCCACAAAGTGGAGTCCACGACATGCGAGTGTGGAGAAGAGAAGGGAAAGACCACCTATTACAATGCAGTCTGAGCTGTGCCTCATGCACAATGGAGGAACTTCTTATAACAACACCAGAGGCACTCCAAATTGCCAGCTACTGGTCAAAGCACATTTAATATAATTGCCAAGTTTTTTAAAAAAAACTTTGTGTTTTTTAAATACATTACAACTGTACCCTTAGTTCACTTCTGTTATGATAAATAAATAGTATGTAGTAATTCCAAGAGGAGAGCAATTCTATGATTTTTGCAGACTAGTCATGATAGGTCTTGAGCAAGAATTTACCCTTGGGTGCCACTATAACGTTTTGGCTACAAAAGGACTAATTAAAAACCAATCAGAAACAAAGGATCAATAAATAGATTTGTAAGAAGTCTCAAAATGAGTCATGTACCAAGATATAACATGTGATTCAGCCTATCTCTTATAAAACATTATCAGTTTCAGAAGGATTTTAATGGTATATTATTTTCTACAATGTTTTGATGTTTTTAAAACAGTTGTAAATTAGTATTTTAATAAAAATGTTGATTTAAATAAAAATAACTTTGTATCAAATAGGTTATTTTGTCATTTTTAACTGCTGTGAGATGACTTGAGTCCTGCCCTGGAAAAAAGACAGGCTACAAATTAAACCAAATAGATCTGGATAGAGATCAATTACTTTAGAATTGCTTCAGCAAGTGTATCACTTATTTGCTGCCATTGTCTATTGATATGTCATTGTCAGCAAGATTCCCTGTTTTGCCTTGGATATCCCTATGCAAAATTGGCGCTTTACATGAAAAGGAGAACTTGTGCTTTACTTAATGGTGTAGGGTTGGAGCACCAAGAGTTTTTGATGAGCAAGAATGATAACTTTATTGCCACTTCCTTGGTCTCCCTTTCCCTCTTTAAATTTAACAATAATAATAATAATAATAATAATAATAATAATAATACTTTATTTTTACCCCACCACCATCTCCCAAAAAGGACTCAGAAGCACATACAAGTGCCATAAACATGTAAAATACATGTAAAATCACATCAACATATTAGACAATGACAATATCAGTTTACATCAAAACAGCACATTACAAAAATAAAAAAACCCAATCAAAATCAATAAAATATATTACTAATTGGCATTAAAATGAGTAGTACAGCATTCCAGCCGCAGGCCAGATTTGACCATTAAAGTGCCAATGTCAATATTATATTGTTTGGTCCTTAGATTAGCAGATGTCTTAATCATTTCCAAAAGCCTGCCTGAAGAGGCATGTTTTCAGCTCCTCGCGAAAACATTGTAGTTTGAGGGCAAGCCTAATATCCCTAGAGAGGGCATTCCAAATCCGAGGGGCCATCACCAAGAAGGCCCTGTCTCTCGTACCCACCAGCCACACTTAGGACAGAGGTGGGACTTAGAGTAGAGCCTCCCTGGAAGATATTAGAGTCCACGCCGGTTCATAGGGGGAGATGTGGTCACAAAGATAGGCTGGACCTGATCCGTATAGGGCATTGTAGGTAATAACCTGCACTTTGAATTGTGACCCGAAACTTGTTGGCAGCCAGTGGAGCTGTTTTAATAGGAGTGTGATATGCTCCCTATGAGCAGCCCCAGTTAGTAATCTGGCTGCTGACCTTTGCACTAATTGCACTTTCCGAGCTGCATTCAAAGGCACATAGAGCGCATTGCAGTAGTCCATTCTAGATGTAACTAAGGTATGGACTACCATGGCCAAGTCAGGTTTTATTTTGCTATATTCTTCACAATAGTTAGCAGGAAAAATAGATTTTTCCCGGCTACAAGACATTTTGTAGCAATGACAATGGCCAGGAATTGGTTGGTTGATGTGAACTAGCAGATCTGTCTGAAGTTTTAGAAATGTATTATGAGATGTTGACTAGGTGGACTGGCATAGTGCATGCCAGGACTTGAACCTTTACTGCTATATGACACCAAAACAAATCAATCCAAACCACTGGATGTACATACAATTTCCTTTTTAAAGGTTCTGCTTCTATTTTGAAAGCAGTTGAAGGGCAGGCCTACGGGTGCATTAAGAATTGAGTTATCCTTTGCACTTTGGAAAGCTTCCAGCTCTCCTTATGTGCCTTTGGAAGAGTTGGAGGAATTTAGACGCAGGTTATGCATGGCCAAAATGAATTCATGGATTTCTGGGCTTTCCTATTCTTCTAACTTAGTAATGTAATGTGATATATTATCCCTTCAATGTGCAACTGTAACTGATTATTTTTAGTAGCCGTTAAACAAGTTTTATAAGTGGGGACAAACCTCTCCTACGCTGGCAAATACAATAAATATAGTATGTTTATAATCAGTATTGTTGATTTGCTGGAAGCCTGCTCTCAGTAAAGCTGTTATGCCAACCATGTAATCATCTGTAAATTGCATTTTTGGTTAATATAATTCCCTATAGCTGATGTTTTCTCTGGTTGATTTTCAGGGCATTCTAGGACTCTACCGAGGCTATAAAAGCACAGTATTAAGAGAGGTAAGCTTTCTGTTCTTTTTTGATCGATGTCCATCTTTGGGTTTGACTTACTGTCCTCCAGATATGCAATCATGATAACAGACGAATGAAAAATGATAAAGAGTTTCCTTTTCTCCAGCCCACCAGGTTGAAACCCCCTTTAAACCATGTCTAACAGGGAAGCAAGAGTGATAACAGAGCACACTTTCTAGTTTGCTGTTTTTGCTGCATTTAAATTTCTTTGACTATGAACTCAACACAAGACACAGAAATAAAAATCAACAATAAGTTGTATAAGTGCTCTTGACAATGTTGCTGCACAGATGTACCGTGAAGCCAAATCAAAAGATCACACAGAACATTTTAAAAGTTGGCTGATTTATGGATCTACCAAATACAAAATAATAATAATAATAATAATAATAATAATAATAATAATAATATGAAAAATGTTGATAGTTCAAACATTTGGCATAATGGAAGAGAGGGAGGGTCAGAATTAGCATCAGATTTGCATCTGATTTGATTTCTCTTTTTCTGTTGCTTTACCAACATATTTAAGATGTTGGCATTGTTGTGCTGACTGTTTTTCAGCCTCAAATACATGCTTGGTTCAGGTTGGAAAAGAAGGGCCAATAGGACAAAAGGGATGTGAAGAAGCCTCTGTTTGTTGCAGTCTGCCAAGGAGATGGCTACATTTCCATGTCAAACATGATTGTGCCTGTAAGAATTGCTTGGCTCCCTCCTTTCTGTAATGCATTGCTATTCTAGCTGGTGTGAAGGCTTGCCTTAGTTGTGACAAAAGAAAGGATTAATACTGACCTTGAATAGTCAAGGAATTAGTGTGACCATCTTTGTAAATTTGCCCACAACACCTGCACAACATGTGTTCATTCAGGAATCAGCTTTGCTTATTTTCTTGGTACTGGGCAAAGACCTTTATATTAATGTGTCTTTTATTTATTTAGTTAGTTATTTACTTATTTGCTCTATTTGTATCCCATATGGTTCTGCCCTGAAGGGGACTCAAGGCGGCTTTACGTATGGCAATTTCTCAATGCCTTTGAACAACAGCAGTTAATGTGCTGAATCTCTTGGATGCTTTGCTTTGCAGTTCTCATTGGAGTAATAAAATTATAGATTTGGAAGAGAGCACAAGGGCCACCCAGTCCCATGCTTTGCTGTATCTTAGAGTTTAGTCCAACATTAGTCCTACCTTGGGGAGAATGGGTCTTGTAAGTCCAAACTTGCTGAAATCTTTCTGGTTTCAGTAAGTCTGCTTTGGACATAATTAAGTTTGATTGCAATATACCACTCCGCTGTAAGAGACAACTGGGCAATTTACCCCTGTGGATCTTGGTTCATCTTTTGAGTATGTATTCGCTTTGATACGTGTAAAACTCTGATACTTTACATGATACTTTTGGATACTTGTAGGGTTTCCCCAAATGTGGGAAACTAGACTGCATAATTTGACTAAATAACTAGTGTTATTTCTATTTTTGTGGTTTGTTCCGACAGTAGTTCTGCTATACATACTCAGAGCATTTATTCTATCTAGCTCAGTATTGTCAATTCAGACTGGTAATAACCTTATTTCCTTATTTCATTTGCATGCCACCTTTCTCCTAGAATGAGATCTAATTTGGCTTCCTGAACAATGATGTCATAAGAAAATAACTTGATCCACATTATACTTTTAATGTGGTTCGTACCACCTAATTTCAGCAAAATATAAATAGTAAAATAAAAGGTGAAGGTTTCCTCTGACAGTAAGTCGAGTCGTGTTCGACTCTGTGGGTGGTGCTCATTTCTATTTCTAAGCCAAAGAGCCAGCATTGTCTGTAAACACCTCCAAGGTCATGTGGCCTGCATGACTGCACGGAACACCGTTACCTTCCCGCAGAAGCGGTACCTATTAATCTGGACACATTTGCTTGTTTTTGAACTGCTAGATTGGCAGAAGCTGGGAACATATAGAACACAGATACAGTATCGATTACTAAGATCCACAAAGTATTATGTTATTGCTGTTGAAACTTCAAATATGTTATTGCACTACAAATATGTTATTGTACTACATATTATCGTACAATAACATATTAGAAGCTGGGAACATACATGGAAAGAAATGGAAAGTTTATATTGATTAAACTACCTGCTGCAAAAAACTCCTCCAAAAGCTTACTTCTTCCTTTGTGTATTTGGATCAGATATTAACAATTACCTGAAAAGAAGTGACAGTGTTTTTAATGTTTTGTGTAAACTGTGGTGTAACAATAAAAATTTCCATGCTTAAGACATTTGGGAAAGGGAAACAAAGCTTGCTTTCTTGTGGTACAAAATTAGCTATTTGTGTGAAGAGATGACACCTGCTTCTCTCGCACATAACCCCACTCTGTCCTGTACTTATTTTCTGCCTCACTAAACACATGTTGCTTGTTGAGATTTCATCTGTCTGCAGGCCACAACAAAAAAGGGCAACACAGTGTTTTGATTTCTCTGAGGGTTTATGAATAAATGAATAGCTTTTTTTCTTGGTGCCCACTAACAGATAGATAAAACAGTTGTGATTGGATGCTATTCTGCCTCAGAAATGTGTTTTGACATGTCTCAGGTTGATGATTAATTTCTAAGCCCCTCTCGTAGCATCATATCTGACCTTACGGAGAGAACTTTAGTTTACTCCAAATGGGAACACTTGGTTGGAAATTTAATTGTGGCCTTTTCCATTATGTGCATACATAAAAGTTCTTTCAAATCCAATTTTAGTTGAAATACGGTGGTTTCCCCCTCCTTTTCTTCCTTGGTGCATCTGCCGTGATAGAATGAACAACAAATTATAGTTGAAATGTGTAATGCAGCTTGCTTCAGAATGAAACAAATTGCAAATGATCAGTTGTACATTGCAGATCCTCCACTACACACACATACATATACCTTAGGTGTCTTGTTTTTAGCTCTGTGCTGAAAGGCTCCTGTGTTTTGACACTAGATATTGCTGCTTTGAGATGAAGTGCCTGTTAAGTTGTTTAATTGGTCACTTCTCCCCAGGCAGACATCCACAGGGTTGCTGTGAAATTGTACGCTTATATTGGTCATCTTGTAAATGGATAGGAGACCACCAATGAATATCATGTATTGTAGGCTGTATTTTATAGGAAGGAACTGACAAAATCACTTCTGAGTGTTGTTTGCCTAGGAAAAACCTATAAAAATCAAGGGATTGCGGTAAGTCAAGGGTTGAGTTGAAGGCACACACATCCACGAGAAAGCACAAAACCTTTTGCCCTTTTGAGCAAGAGGTGTTTCTGTATTGGATAAGAGCCACAAAATTAGTAATTAAATGTTCTCAGTATTCTCTAAGTCATTCCTAATGCCGTGGTCCCTTAATGCAGTTCCTGATATTTTGATGATCCTCAACCATAAAATTATTTTTGCTGCTACTTCTTAACTAAGTTTACTACTGTTATGAATCATAATGTACATATTTGATATGCAGGATGTATTTTCATTCACTGTACCAAACTCAAATTTGAATACTGGTGGGGTTGGGTGGGGTGGGGGGGGTGATTTTGCCATTTGAGAGTTGTAGTTGCTGGGATTTATAGTTAACCTACAATCAAAGAGTATTCTGAACCCAGCCCAAAATGGATCTGCACCAAACTTGGCACACTACCTACATGGCGAACATTGAATACTCGTGGGGTTGAGGGAGCTGTTTTTTGAATTCTGAGATTTATAGTTCACTAACACTCAGAGCATTCTGTACCAAACTGGTGATGGAACTAGTGAACTACTGAACACAACATGCAAACTTTGAATACTGGTGGGGTTTTGAGGGGACTGACCTCAGAGGTTGGGAGTTCTAGTTCAACCACATCAACAGAGCAATGTGCATCCAACAGATGGATCTATACCAAAATTGATACCGATACCCAATATGACCAACTTTGAATACTTATGGGGTTGGGGGCGGGGTGACTCAACATGATGGTAATTGTAGTTCTCCCTACATTCGTAGAACCCTGTAACCCTCACCGCTTTTCCTCCTGCCTTGAAGGGACTCACTGGCATGAGCCTCCCTTTAGCCTCCCGCGCTCTCCCTCACCCACGCATGTGCACCAGGTTTTGAATTTTGGGAAGTTTAGCCCAAAATTATGATCCTTTCAAGCTCCCATCTGTAGTAGCATAATCAAAACATGTAAGATTATTAGTCAAGCAAATTTCACCTAGGCACCCTAAATTATGTCCTGCTGTTCCCAGCATTATCCCATTCATTAAGGGGAACATTGTGCATGTATGGTTGTATTCTTCAAGTCGTTTCTGGTGTGAGAGAATCAGCTGTTTACAAAGATGTTGTTCAGGGGATGCCCGGATGTGTTACCATCTTGCGAGGAGGCTTCTTTCATGTCCCCCAATGGGTGTCCTTCTTATAATAACACTAGAGGCACTTCAAGTGGCCAGCTATTGGTCAAAGGTCATTTAGTATAATGCCAAGTTTTAACTTTGTTTGTGTTTTTAAATATGTTACTGTTACAAACCGCAAAAGGTTCCTGTTCTTTTAATACAGTGTTCAAGTAAGGCAGTTTATATCAATGAGACACTTTAGAGACCAAATTTGGTTTTAACACTATTCATGTAATATTTATTGAAATACAATCACCATAGAATCACATCGTAATCACATAAAGAGAGTGCTCTTGTGCACACATTCCAAACATTCACACATACATACACACACACACACAGGCCTTCTCCGGACAAAGATGATCAACTTTCTTCCAAGAAGGTGTGGATGTTCTCGTTGCTGTGGATCAGGAACCTTTTGGGGTTCATAGCATTACAACTATACCCTCAATTCGTTTCTGACATGATAAATAGGGGAGCATAGGAAGGGATGTTGTTGTGTGACATTGGGAACCAAGTTGTGTGAAAGAGAGTTAAGGCATATTGATGCAGTGTGTGCTAGTTTCCAGGAGTTGGAAAACAAGAGAATGTGTGGGGTAAATAGTCTCACA